AGAAGAAGAAGTCTGAATTGGTCTTTAGATCGTCAATTATCACGGAGTGTCTCAAGAAAAAGGAAAAATGAAGAGAATGGGACCGTTTCTAGAGCCTACAGATTTGCCCAGGTAAGCGAGAAACGACGAGTTCACCTGAAATCGCATGTCTATTTTGGTTCTGTTAAGAAGTTATTATAGTTATAATATACTACGTTTACGCGAGCGTTATTTCTGTAGTAACTTACGATATATCACTCGTTTGGAATAAATTATCGTAAGTTACTACAAAATCTCGTTTACGCGAAGGAAAATCCCGTTTACGCGAAGGAATTATCGCAAATTACTACAGACGTAACGCTCGCGTAAACGTAGTAATAGTTATCATTGTTGTATTGTTGTATTACAATAATTATATTGATATATGTACAGGGTGGGGCACCATAAAGTGAGACGCCTAAATATAGTTTTGCCCAGGTAAGCGAGAAACGAGTTCACCTGAAATCGCATGTCTATTTTGGTTCTGTTAAAAAGTTATTATAGTTATAAATAGTTATCGTTGTTGTATTACAATAATTATATTGATATATGTACAATGAGGAGCAGGAATGGGTTCCGTTCTCGCGCGGTGTGCAGAGCGGTGTAGAGACCCTATATTAATTATTTTTTTTATATATTAATTTTTTTTTATATTATAAATAAAATTATAAAATAAATTATAATTAATTAATATAGATATATATTTTGCTACTATTTTCTACTATTTTCTGCTTTAACAAAGATTATAATTTTAAAATAATATATAATTATGTAAAAATAAAAGTAAAAGAAACAAAATATATATCCGCAAATTATTATTTTCTTACTTACCCACACATAGTGATATTTTTAAGTATTAATTAAAAATAAATGGATCATGAGTGATGATTTTCCTTCTTAGAATCTTTTTTGCAATTCAAAATACACAACATTTGAAAATTACAAAGAAATCGGCAGAGAGGAAGGGGCTTATACTCAATATTTACATATATTCTTTATATTATTCTCCATTGTGTGATAATGATTATAACATGAGAAATCTAACTTTGTAGTGGCTCAAAAACCATTGGTAAGCAGACCGAAAACGTTGATAATAGTCTTAAAAATAAAGTTGCCAAATTGGAGAAGCAAGTAATTAATCTGACAAAAAAACACGTGGAAGGATCTAAGAAACCTGACCATGTTGTATACGGTCAGAAGCCCCTTCACCGCATTCCAAAAGCAACATCATCAGCTATATTTGGAAAGTCTGGTTGTAGCTGTAAATCTGTGTGGAGTTGCTCCTCACAGATTTGTGGTTGCGTGAAGAACAGCAACAAATGTGGTCTGTCATGTAAATGTGACAATGAAATGTGTAAAAATCAGGTAATATTATCATTTGAATGTATGATGTTTTTATGTATAGTAACCTGAAAATAAATTAATTGATATTTTACAGAAACCAGAATATGATCAAGAGAAGAATAAATTGTGTTGCAATTAGGCTGGGTTCGTCTTGACGCTTTCAGCGCTGTAAGCATCATTTCATCTTCGTTGCACATCGAATATCAAATGAAGATAGAACGATGCTTTCAGCGCTAAAAGCGCCAAAACAAAGGCAGTCTTAGGCTGCATTCCGATATTCACTGTCAGTACTGCAAATCTATATTTTACGTCACGTATATTATAGATTTTCAGTACTGAAAGTTGCTGACGGTGAATATCGGAATGCAGCCTTAGTCATATCTGTAAATAGTTC